GTACTCTTTACATAACTCTTTTCATTACATAATTACTATTGCATGATTAACGATAGTTTTCAAAACACACACTCACAGTCACACACACAAAACGAACAAACAAGAAACATATGGGTTAACCAACTGCTAATATAATTGGAAACGTGTAACTTGCACAGAAAGGATAGCACAGAGGTTTTTTTACATATTCAATACCATTTTAATAGATTGGTAGTAAGAGTAAAACATGTCAGTCCTTTAACTGCGCTCATGTAAACGAGTTGTTTGATGTTAATAACATATAGATTTAGCCACGGCTAAAAGCGAAGCTCTCGATAATATTTATATATAATTTGTTCAAACAAAATATAAAATCGTGTTATGCTAATCCGTGAAGGCAACGCTGGAGAACGGTGAAAAACAACAATAGGTCTAATTAGCAAAAAAAAAAAAGCAACTTTGCAAGTGCAGCTCACTTTTTTTGTACATTTCTTTGCCGTTGTTTTGCACGACTACAACGTGAAACTTCCAGAAACTTCTTAGTTGCACGTTTTATGGAGGAAATGTCGTACGTGTTCTCGTTCACTTTTTTTTTATTGCCACTCATTATCATCTTACATTGGTGGCCGCTACCTTTTCTTATTTTGTCACCGCCGCTACAAAACTTTCATGTTGTTCTTCCAACAAAAAATATCTCCTTCGTTTTTTTCTCTCTCGCTCTAGATCTCTGTCGCCCTTTCCCTCGTTGAGCTTCGCTGGCCTGCGGCCTGACTTTCATTTTTTCTCTGTCTATCTCCTGCTCTATATTCCAAATTAGTGGACATGCTGGACAATGAATTTAATTAAGCTGAATACTTTAGACAACACGGATACAGAAACAATTTCTGCATTAAATTTTCGTCTTTATTGACTCTGTCTCTGCTTTACAAGACTCCGATGGCTATGCGATTTTCCGCCAAAATAACTTCGAGTTGCATTTGGGTTGCCATATCTGTTGATTGAGTTATTTAACATTGGTATGCCTGTGGTGTGGACGGACGGTCGCTCGGGCGGTGGTTGTACGGTCACGTGATTACCAAATTTTCTCGTATGGGTAGATTACTTCATTTTCTTACCCATGGTGCTCCACTGGCGCTTTGCGCCGGAGAGCTCCGCTATTATCGAGTTCCTTGCCGGGTGTGTAGTTTTTCGTGGTTCGAGTTGGTGAGAAGGTTTCATGACTCATGCAGTGAAAAGTATTACAGACTGTTTTTAGTGACTTATATCATTCACACCTTTACAAAGAGAAGTAAAATGTAAGTAATTGAAAAGGTTTAATATTTTCAGTGTTTTTATTTCTTTTTTTTTTTATTTATTTTGTTTTTATATCAAACGAAATGACAAAAGGCAGCTGTAAATTAAACCTCCCAAGAGGAAGTGCTCAAAGAATTTTCAAAGATAAAAGGAAATAAATATATATGCGTTTGAACTAGAAAACACAAATTTTCCCTTTGTCATAGTTAGAATCTTTAACAATAATCTCCTCAAGAGTAAAGCGTCAAAACCTTCCAGGAAGTTTGAGTCTGCATAATATGAAAATGATTGCACAAATAATTGAACAACTGCTACCTAGCACGAGCAATATAACTACAGGAACAGAAACTACGAACACTTATTACCATATTTAATACCATTGGTCTAAACATTTGGCAGTAGCAATAGTGTCACAAACTTCTAATGACTTCAACCTGAAACTCAGGAGCTGATCTGCTAATTAAGGCAATTTTTATCAACGCTGTGTTCCAAAGTTTTTCTGCATTGAGTACACGGTCCGTTTGAAATTGTCTTGATAAAGAGGTACTACAACAGACTGTTTCTAGGGATTATCCCACCTTTACAGAGAAAAGTGTGTAAGTTGAGGAACATTTTTTTCTTTTTCCAGGCTTTTTTCCATAAAATACAGCTGTAAATTTATCCTCGCAAGAGGTAGTTTTCTCACGGAAAGATAAAATAAGAGCCCTCTCAGTATACACATATTCCTTGGGGTATGGTTTAGTCGTTTAAGAGGGTGTTAATGGAGTGTAGCTGTAGTCAGTAAACAGCTAAAAAAAATGGAGTATGGTTTAGTCGTTTAGAATTAAGCTATGGGCTCATATTTGATCATGTCCATATTGAGGAATTTTGTGCAGTCCCAGTATAGAAAGTAAAACATTGATTAAATACTATGAACGTTAAGATATAAGTAGCTTTAACACATGGCTTTAACTTGCTTTTCTGTTGTTGTTTTATTTTGTTTTTTATCGCTCAAACTTACAAGACCACCCCCCCCCCCCCCCCCCCCCCCCCCCCNGAGTTTGAACTTTGCTTTTCTGTTGTTGTTTTCTGTTGTTTTTTTATCGCTCAAACTTACAAGACCAACCCCCCCTCCCCCTCAGCCCAGTATTTTTTCTGAGTCTTTTCCTAGACAATAAAGCATCAGCACCTGGCGCTTTCAGTTTATCCCTCGCCCGCATTTTGAGACAAGTTTAGTGATGGTCAGTTACTATGGTAACGAGAGATATAACGTCATAGGTAGCAGGCGGTCAAGCCATTTTTGAGTGAAACGTTTTTCAACTTATTTCAGCAACAGAAGTAAAGATTGAGGATAAAATGATGCAAAGTATTTATTGGTGTATTATTTTACATGTCAAGCCAAAGAAAACCTATCAATTCTCTTGGTTTTTGCCTGATTTCTAATTCTTGAAAAAATCCAAGATGGCGACCATGTTTAGTGACGTCACAGACCTCCAGCAGCGCGATCACAGGCTTTCAACTGAAGGCAAAATCGTTTCGAAATACTGCAACATTTCAAAATTTCAGGAAAGGGGTTCCATCAACGCCCCCCCCCCACCCAACCCCCTTGTACCAAGGAGGGGTAGGACTTTGAGTGTAGGTCCGAGGGTTAAGGTGAAATGATTTTATTTTTCTTATTCCAGCTCCCATTTAAAAGACAAGAAAAAGGCTACTGTCATATGTTTAAAGGATGTCGACTGATGCGACGAAGAACATCTGGTTTGCAGTGTTTCTCACTGAGTTTATAGTGATAATTACAAACAACGTCTTCACTCTCATTGTCTTTGCAAGAAGCCGCCATCTACGCAGACGCAATACGTACCTGATAATGAACCTGACTGTAGCTGATTTGTTTTGTGGAGCCGCCACGGGACCTGACACCCTTTGGCTTTTAAAAACAGGAAAAAGATCGACACATGGTTTCAGAGTTTTATATTTAATGATCGCTGACATTTGCTGGATAGCTTCACTGGGTAACCTAGCTTTAATATCTTTAGAGCGGTTGCATGCAACACTATATCCATTTAGGCATTGTTTAGTTGGAAAACGCATTTACTATAAGAATATCATTTTTAGTTGGTTGGGAGCTTTGATTCTAGCATGTGTTCTACACATCACTCGCATGAATGATGTACCCTTCCCAGATCGATACCCCTGGATAATTTATATTTTTCTTACCCTTGCAGTACTAACAATATCTTATGCTATAATTATTTCACAATTTATCAGAAAAGCTCATGTCCAGCAGTTAGGGTCAGTTATGTCAGCAGAAAGAAAACTTTCAGTAACTTTATTCATAGTTAGTGCTGCCTCTATAATTACTCTTCTTCCCTGGGTAATAATTATTTGTATCGCGATAAGTTCAGACCATCACTCATGGATTACACTCACATCGTACAGGACAGCAGTAGCGATTTATAACCTTAATTCGATATTGAACCCAGCCATTTACGCAATTAGATTGTCAGAGTTCAGGAGAGCTTCGAAAACAAATCCAGTAAGGCGGGACCAACCTATTGAACTGCAAGCAATGTAGACATGGACTGTATATGCAGTTTCGTGGACTTATCAATTATGTGTAAATATTAAATGCATCCATCGACTATTAAGATCCCTCAAATGTAGACAATAGCTTTGTTTAAGAATGAAGATTGTGTTCCAGCAAAGGAAATTTGCATAAAACATTAATAAATCGAGGGTATTTGTTGTCAATATTCATCGCTCACTTGAACAGAAAGGCTCTCTGCGACAGATTCAGTGTTCCAACTAAACCGGATAGTTCTTGCGCCGCTTTTCCCAATTTTCCCCCCAACTTTTCTTTTTGATAACATAACGGAAACTGTACGTAGTCATTGGACTGACGGGTCGAAAGAATTCAATTTTTGGAAAGATTTTTATTGTGCTTTATCTGCAAATTACTTGTTACAGCTAGAGACATGCAACTCACGTGTGTTTCCATATATCAATATCGGTCATCATACATCATCAAACATTGACCGGCTGGAAATTTTATGAAGAACAAAAGCATCAGCCGAGGGCATACTATCGTTCTACCCTAAGAGAATCATCGATAAAAAAGGATTACACGAATTGTTTCCCAAAACCTCCAAAAAGCTAAACAGCTGACTGCCACGACAAGTTCAAGCAAGACGGCGATGTCACGGACTATTGCGGAAATCAGGATTCGATACGCAGTCACCAGAACAGCAAAAGTCCGCGAAATGTAGTCAGGCAGCGTGTCTTGACGAACATGGTTCAGGCACCGATGCCGATGCTGATCTCCCAGGGGAAGCCAACCCCGTACCGTCTGAGCCAAAACAGGACAAAGCTAAGAAAAAGTGCTCCAGGAAGCGACAGCGGACATCGGAGGAAGCCCACATGGCGATGTGTGGAAAGGCTGTGAATTCAAAACGATGAGTAAAATAGAACGCATGCTAGATAAATTCGATAGCGACAGTAGCGACGAGGACTAAACATGCGAAATAGTAAACTGCCAATTCCCTTTCGTTCATTTTTTTCAGTTGATAGTTTTTGTAAGCGAAAACGCTAAAAATAAAATGATTTTTGCCACACAATTCGTCTTTTATTTGATGGTTCTATTCGTGCGTGCCGCAAACAAAGGAAAAGTCACCCATGGGAAAACATCCCGCGTATTTTACATATTGAGTGCACTTTTGCACTTTAGTGGCTCTAGTTGGAGTTATGTGAAAGATCTCCAATGGTTTTTTTTACATTACTCTTTACACGATATATTAATTACTCTTGCATGATTAAAGATAGTTTTCAGAACACACACACAAAAGGTACAAACAAAAAAAACAAATGGGTTAACCAGCTAGTAATCTAATAGTTCGAAACGCGTAACTTTGACAGAAAGCATAGAAAAGAGGTTTATTACCATATTCAATACCATTTTAATAGATTGGTAGAGTAGAACTTGTCATTCTTTTAACTGCCCTTATCTAAACGTCTGGGCTGATTGGTGTTATTATTATCGAGGTCGTTGTGTGTACGTAATTTTTCGTGCTTCCAGTTTGTGAGAAGGTTTCATGACTTAGTGAAAAGTATTACAGGCTGTTTCTAGTGATCATTCGCACCTTTACAAAGAGAAGTAAGGAGTGCAAGAATTGAAAAAGTTTAATATTCTCGGTAGTTTTCTTTCTTTCTTTTTTTTCCGATTTTATTTTTTTTGATATCGAACGATAAATCAACAAAAGGCAGCTGTAAACCTCACAATAGGAAGGGCTCAAAGAATTAAAGGGAGGCTTGGGGCGCTCTTTATCCAGAGAAAAAAATCCCGCTCATTCTTCCTTTCCACTGTTCGCAATAAACACGGGGCAAAAAAATAAATTGGAAACCATCCAGTTGCAGAAGCCAAGAAAAAGAAATGTTATAAAAGACTAATATATAAACAATTTGTCCAAATCTCAGGTCTTTGTAGCCCACAGTTTCCGAGTTATTTCCCGAAACATTTCACACATGTATGGTCGCCGGAAATCAACAAAAACATCTAGTGTTCACTTTTTCTATAAAAGCTCTTCCTTTTCACTCGAGAGCTAGCATACGTACGCATAAACACATCTTTTAATACTTGAAATGGTTAAACTGCTGAAAATCAAGAGGAGAAACTTTTTTCAATTAGACAGCATTCCTAGTTTGGTGTCACGCACTATTAAAACTCGGAAGTTCAAATTGCTGTATTTTCGAAATGAAACATGCTTCGGGACTGGAAACTTGCACAAAGATATATTTTCTATTTATCGTCAACCTAGTGTAAATAAGAATTCGTAAAACCTCGTTGTTTTGACTTTGCAATTTGATGACGTCATTGTGAAAACCATCAATTATGGGCGCCCGTCTCAGTTAAATTAGGTTTCTTTTAGAAACAAGTGGCAGAATTTAAACGTCCTTATCTCCCAGAGCTTATCATCCAGTCCATTCCATTGTTATTCTAGAAAACCTTTACAAGAAACAAAAGGAAATAACGTTATATACGTTTGAACTACACAACATAAATTTTCCTTTTTGTAATAGTTAGAAATGCTTAACAATTATCCCTTCAAGATTTAAACTGCAAAACCTTCCAGGAAGTTTAAGTCTGCGTGATATGCAAATGATAGCACAAATTAAACAACTCCTACCTAGCACGGGGAATATAACTACACAAACTAAAAAATACGGAGCATTATTACCATATTTATATTCATACTATACCGGAAAGTTTTTTTTTTTTTTCAAAGTTAGTGCTGCCTCCACATTTACTCTTCTTCTCTGAGTAATTTTTAATTTTAGTAAAATCCAACTAGTAGTCTATTATTAATGCTGCGTTCTAAAACAATTATTGTTTCCTAAAACAATTATTCCTGTCCCCCTCATGGCCTCTGAGTCAATAGCCCATTCGGCCTTCGGCTTCACGGGCTATTGACTCAGAGCCCATTCGGGCTCGAGGAATAATTGTTAAGTATCTCGATAAGTTTAGACCGTTACTTATGGATTGAATTCACACTGTTCAGGATAGCTTTTGCGTTTTACCGCCTTAATTCGATATTGAATCCAGTGATCTACACAATTAGATTGCCAGGATGCATGAGAGCTTTGAAGAAGCTTTTCTGCTCAAACACTTTGTATCCAGTAAGGCGGGACCAACCTATTCAACTGCAAGCAATGTAGACATGGACTGTATGGGCAGTTTTGTGTACTAATCAATTATGTGTAAATATTCAATGCATCCACCGCATATCGACTATTAAGATCCCTCAAATGTAGATAATAGCTTTGTTTAAAAATGAAGATTGTGTTCCACCAAAGGAAATTTGCATTAAACATTAATAAATCGACAGGGTATTTTTTGTCAACATTCACCACTCACTTGTCAAAAGTCAGCGATCTGTCCAATCAGATCATAATATAAACAAAGTCTAAAGGCTCCATCGCCTTTTTTCTCCCTCAAGCTACGCTCGGCCTGCTTTGCTCGCCGATTTTCTTTTTCTCTCCGGTTAAAAGGGGAGCCTGTTCGCTGGCTACTACCTACACAGAGAATAAATTAAAGGTTTTGTCAACTACAGTCAATCAGAAGGGGGAATTACGACCAACTTTTTTAAAAACCCTGACGACATCTGAACAAGGTAAAACATCTGTTCCAGAAAGATTGTCGGAAAAACGCGTTTAAGTGCACGAGTCAACCCTTTCTGGTATTGTGGGTAGTGTTTTTAAGTTCCCGGTTCCCAGCTTGCTTCAGCATTTCATGGAAAGCTTAGAAAAGGGTGTATGTACTTAACCTTGAGAGGGTGAATAGCAAAATATTAGGTTTGAAAGCCACAGCTGTGTCAAGAACTCACCTCATTTTGATACTGTTGTTGATTTGAAGCAATATATCTGATGTTGTTATGTAAAAGCAAAAAAGTGATAAGGACAAAAGGAATTCCCTTCCCAGAGAGTAAGCTCAGTAGTTCTTTAGCCAAAGAAAACTTTCATCAACTTTATTCAAAGCACTGCTTCTTCTCTTACTTCTTTCTCTGGTTTTCATATGTCGGGAAAATTCCAGGCTATCGGAGATTTTACTGTTTCCCGACTGTCCCAGATTTTGCCGACTAATGAAAACTCGAAATCGTAGATATCCCCGAGTCTGGGATGGACGGGGTCAAATCTGGAGAATCGGGAGCGTTTCTATTTTCCCGACCGTCTCAGATTTCTGCGACGGTCGGCGATCATTCCCGACAAATGAAAACTCAGATTTGTACAGTCGGGGACGTCGGCGATGGATTTCGCTCTTTTCCAATCCCTATCACACTCAGTAAACATGGCGTCTCTCGAAAACACGAATGATTACTACCTCGAATCTCTTGCCCAAGAGGGAAGGAAGAATGATATGGTGTTTTTAGTTGGCTTCTGCCTTTCCAGAATAGAAATTCTTGCATTGACGAGCGAAAGAACGCAGATGTATTGAGAACGACGCAGCATTAGCTCGTGTGCATCCATGTTGCTGTATAAATGCTGTTACATTTGTGTTCAAGATTCAGTTTTTGGCGTACTTTCCATTTCCCGCCAAATTCATAATAGGGAGAAACTGGAGCAGACTTCTGGCGATTATCCGATATATAGGCAAAATCTGGGATGGTCGGCAAAAAGTAGAATCCCTACTCGTTTGGGGTTTTCCCAACATATGAAAAACAGGCTTCATCCGATATACAGGCAGAATCTGGAATGGCTGGC